TTCATCTTTTAGATAAGATCCATCTGTAAACCAAATTAAGTTAGCATTATCAATAGGAGTTTCCTGTAAACTGTTCCTAGGAACAAAAAGGTAGTCACTAAGCAAAACCCAATCGTGGATGTCTCATCTTGCAAAGAAGGTAGCAAAATTGCCAGGTCACAACTGTTAAATCTAGTTAAAGCAATATTAGATACAGAAAGAATACTTCGTAAGAAGCCAATTGACTGACAGATGGATGTGATGAGGGTTCAGTAAAGATTCAGCAGAATGCAGAACATAAATATAGGATCGCCTATAACTATTTCTTCTATTGTTTGCATAACATGGCGGCAGCAGAGACCGCTGTCATGCAGGGAGAGCCCTTTGGCTACTGAGTTTAATTGCTAACTATAATATCCTGTAAATCTACGATGATCGCTGTTTTTGAGTTAAATCTCCTATAAAGCATTTCTTTTATTTTCATGAATAAAAAGGAAGAAAGTTTATAATTAAGGTGTTCCAGAGCAGGAGCTTTAGATAATAATATTTCCTCTAGAACTTCTTCAGCTTGTTTCCCTTCAGTGTTCCATTGAATTGGATCAGGTTGACCTGATTTTAATAAGACATATATAGAGAGGCTGGGCCTATTAATGAAAAATTTGGAACCCAATTGTGACAGTATCTAGTCAGACCCAGAAATCTTCTAAGCTGTTTTTTTTTGTTTTTTGTTTTTGTTTTTAGAAGAGGAAAGGATATTATTTCTATGAATCTTTCAGGGTTAATTTGTAGCCCATATTTAGATTTTAGATAACCAAGGTATTTTACTTGAGGTAAACAGATTCAAAGCTTGTCCTTTGAGACACTACATCCCTTTGTGGCCAGCTATTGTAATAGGTAAACTGTGTCCTCTTGGGAGCCTAATATGACCTAGAGCATAAAAATAAATCATTCACATATTGAATTAGAGTGGAATTTCTGGGAAACTCAATATCATTCAAATCAGCTTTTAATGTCTATAAGAAATAGGTGGGACTTTATGTATATCCCTGGGGTATTACTGTGCAAGAAACTCGTGATCTTCCCAGATGGAAAGCAAAGAGGTATTTCCTGTCTTTTTTTTTTTTTTTTTTACAGAAATGCTGAAAAAGACAGTACATAAATCTATATCATTGGAAAATATCGACAGTCCACAGGAATAGCTTATTAGAAAATGTGGATTTGGGACCACAGGATGTCTTTATTTATAGCTATGAGATCCCGTGCAAACCTCTATCCTTTCCCATTGGGTTTCTTTACTGGAAAAATAGAAGAATTACAGGGGCTCGTACATGGAATTATAAGCTCCCCCCCTTTTAAAAAAGTAATCTTGTATAATGGGCTAATTCCAGCTAGTGCATCAGGTCTTATAGGACACTGGTGAATATTAGGTAGAGATAAAGTGTTGTCAATATTTATTTTAATACTAGTGGCTTTACTTAATTTTGCCAATATCTGTACTGGAAAAGGCCCAAAGTTGCATTGGAATATCAGTCTCAAGATTAATTTTTTCTTGAGGAGGTTACTTTAAAGTTGTTATTTTCCCAATTGGTTCAGTATCTGATTTATTTAGTTCTAAATATATTTCACCCTTCTGGGAGAAGGATGTGTGGGCATCATTGGTTTCAAGAAAGTTTTACTCTATTAGGTGAATTGGGGCAGATTTGACTATTAAAATGCAAGTTTCCCCCTAACATTTCTTAGCTGGAAGGGAACAGGCTCTGAATTAAAAACAGACATTAGTTAATTAGATGTCCCTACCATTTGCACAGACACTTTACTTTGAGGAAGAGAGCACCTTAGTTGTGTAGATTAAGAACAGATAAAGTAACCCTGATATCTAAAGAGACTTAGTAGTTTTCCCTTTAAGATAATTTCAGTTTCTCCTAAAGTCTTAGTAAGGAGAAGAGGAAATGCCTTCTCATAACCCTCAGAGCAGCCCTATACTAGCTTCTGTTTTTTTTTTTTTCTTCTTTTTCTAAATCTCATTTCAGGTTTCTACAGTCCTTCTTAAGGTGACCTGACTTTCTACAACAAAAGACTCCTCTACAGGAGTTTCCCAGCAAACCATATTCAGTAATTCTGTAGCTTTGCTCTCAGAAACTAGTAGGTGTATTAATTGGAATAGGTCAGAATAGCCAGGATCACATGTTCTAACAGTTAAATCAAATTCCTTTGTGAACCCATCAGAGTCCTGGAGAGGGTTGGAGAAATCCTTAGGTAGATTCTTTAATTCTGTTCTAATCCAAGGAACATATGTAATCACTGGTTCCCCTCTGCCTGAGACCAGCTTTCTCCAAAGGGAGCTGCTGGAATTTCTGTATTTGTTTGTTTTTTTCTGGTCTATCCTCATCTGGTTTTCTATTCTGAGTGGACCCTCAGTCAGTAGGGAACTGCAGTGGAGATGGTGTAGAAGAGAGAGAAGGAGGAGGAGGAAAGGAGAGTAAGTCTGGACAATGAATTAAAGGGTACCACGTGGCAGTTAGGGAAGAGGTAAAAGCTGGGCATTGGCATTGAGCAGCCTCGGAAAGTTGCTTAGGTTCAGAGACAGTCTGAAATTTTCCTATTAACTTCCTGAAGAGAAGGCCTCTCTGTTCTCTGTTTTATTTTTATTTTTTTAATAAACTTTTATTTTGGAATGATTTTAGATTTACAGAAAAGTTAGAGTACACAAAGTACCTGAATAACCCTCATCTGATTTCCCCTATTGTTTTCTTTTTTCTTTCTTTCTTTCCATTTTTTTTTTTTTTTTTATTATGGTGACATTGGTTAATGAAATCCAGTAGGTTTCAGATGTACAATTCAACAGTAAGGCATATATATACACTGAATTGTGTGTTCACCGCCCTGTTCTCCCTTTTAGAGGTTTCTATTTGCCGTTTGAGGTAAGTCTCCTACCCTATTCACTCAGTTTGATTTTGAGCCAGCTTTCTTTTCCTATTGTGCACACACAAAAAAATAATTTAGGTGTCAAAAGAGTTCCATTTTGACCATCTTAAGTTGATATCACTTCTAGTTTAATCTTCCCATTTCTGTACGTACTTGCAAGTGCAGTTTCCCTAGGAATTGTGTATCTGCAGGAGTATTAATGGAGACTGGGGGCTGGGAAATTGCCGGCCTTGGAGGCATGATTTCCCAGGTTAATTCTAGTTTTCTTTTGAGATCTGCAGAGTCCAGGGATACTGTGTAGTGGGTTGAAGTGTGCTGCTTATGGGTTGAGCTCCAAGGGCCTGTCACCTCCCAAGTTGCTTCAACCCTCTTACACATCTAGGTTTCTCCCCACTGCTGTCCAATATAACCGTGAGGACTCAGAGCACTAGGTAACCAGTCTTTATGTGTGAGTCCCCAGACGAGTCCATTATTTAATTACAGTTGTGTTGGAATTCCCTATGGGGCCCTGCTTGTTTTGAGGGATACCATCAAAAACCTCCACATAGATTCTTAGTCAACTAAGAATCGAGCTGGAGGGAGCAAATGACCCTTATCTCCAGAGGTGAACAAGTTCAGAATCTCATTTATCCAGCAAAAGGTTTGGTCATATTCACAGTAAGTAATTCCAATTGAAAAGCTAAAATTAAAAACCAGCCACCCATTTTTATCCCCTATTTCTGAGTTATCTCAACACTTGTCCTTAGCATGAGTTACCTCAACTTTTAACTTTTAATACCACCTGGAAGATTTTTTAAATCAGCTTAAATAAAGTTAGGGCCTCCTACCTTAAAACAGAGAGGTCCGGAATTCCAAGAAAAACTCACCCAAGTTCACCCGATGCAAAGTGGGGAGTCAGTGGGGGCACAACGGACCCCTGCTGGTACCTAGCACATGGTCCCGGTCCTCAGGGTGGTCCTGGGTGGGCTTCTTTGGAATCCTGCCTAATGTACCAAGTAAGTGTTGACATAAGAAACATCCAAACCTGTAGAGAATTTTAATGAGTTTCTTTGAGCTAAACTGCCGGGAAACAAAATCTCATCAGATTAAGAAAATGCTCCGGAGAATGGCAGTTTTGCAGCTTATTTTATGCATTAGAATCAAAAGAGGAGACAAAAGGAAGGTTACATGAAATCCATTGGTGATAGATTAAGGGAGAGGGAGAAAGCAAAGCAGGGAAGTCTCTCGAATTGGATAAAAAGTAAAACAGAGAGACACGTACTTCTTTTATTAGTGAGTACATGATAGTTAATTATTAACATTTTACAACTTTTAACACAGGGACAGTATTCTACAAAACCCCTACAAGAGGTTCTGTTGTCTGGTGCGGTAGGCTGTGCCCTGAGGGGCCCGGATAAAGGGATTACTCTGACATTCCAAGTATATGTTATCTTAGAAGCAAAAAGACTATAGAAGGGCTTACTTGATGTAAATACTGACCTTTGTGAAGAAAGCTACAGGCCCAGAATGTGACTACCCACCATGACCCGCTTTTAGTTAGGAATTTACATGTTCAGACCATTCCGTGTGGTTAATTTCGGTCTTTGAGTTTGTAGGGCCCTCCATACTGGCCTCCCCTGAGATTGTCAGGTTTAGTGTGTGGGCCCTTTTTGTCCGCAATTGTTTAATTCCTCATTGATGAGTTTTAGAGCTCTTTATAAATGTTGGATGCATTTAAAAATAAATTAGAGACATCAGTGTACTTCCCTCTAAATACATCAGCATGCATATTATTAACTAGGGTTCAATTTCTTTACATATAGTGAAGTACACAAATCTTAAATTTATGATCTCTGAGATTTGACAAATGCTACCTACTCCTGTGTAACAAAAACCACTGTCATGATGTAAAACATTGTTCTGTTGATTTTTATGACCACTGATGGCAATCTATTTGAAAAACAGTGCTTCAAACAATCTAGTTGTAACGCAAGGCCAGGGTAGAGGCTCTGGGCTGTAAAAATAGGATTTGCAACTAAGATGTTGCTTTTGGGAGACAACCAGTGAGAAGGGCTTCCCTTCGCAGACTGCAGGGACCACCCTGGGTTTGTTTCCAGGATGGCCTTACCTTACTGCACTGTGCAGCCCAAAAAGGCCATGTGCCAGTGCTGGCGTTCATAATGGAAGACCTGGAGGACGTGGCCCTGGACCATGCTGACAAGGTGAGAGTGGCATCAAGGCTGTTTGTCCTTTTCATTTGGATCGGGGCTCCTGGGGCCACTCCTACCCATTCCTTGAGCACATCCTGTGAGTTATGGTAAGTGCAGACTGAACCCTGCCTCAGGGAGCTATTGGTCTAAAAAGGATATTAGGGCACAAATGAGCAAGACACAAGCAGAACATGGCTAGTTCCCTCAGAGAGGCTCTGATAAGGACTAGACAGGTTAGAGAAGGGAATAACTCCTTTTGCTTCCTGGGGGAGGTGGCATTTGGTAAATGAAATGGATTTTGTTGCTAAGATTAGAAAGTAGGGGGGCATTCCAGATGGAGGAGAGAGCATCGCTAGAGCTTTAGAGATGGAAAAGACCCTTTGTGTGTGAGTTCAGTTTGATCAGAATCTTGGGAGTTAGGGCCATAGGGATTGTTGGGGTCTCTCATGGAGACCTCAACCCCCAGCCATAGGAATCTGGCCCTTATTCAGTAGGCAGCAGGGACTGCAGGAGGATTTCAGTTGGGGAGAGACCCACCCAAGAGGTTTTATTGGGAAGTTTGATCTGGGCTTTTTAGGCAGGATGTGTTGGGTAAGGGGAGGGGAGAGTGTCTGGGGCAGGAGAGGCCACTGCAAGCCCAGAGTGGTTGGGGAAACGAAGGCCAGGTGGGCAGGGCACGGAAGGTTCACTATCTTTTCACCGGTCAGTTGGGAAGGACGGCGTTTCACCGGGCAGCTGAACACGGGCAGCTGGATGCTCTGGACTTCCTTGTGGGCTCTGGCTGTGACCACAGTGTCAAAGACAAGGTACTGTGACCGTGGGCCCCAGGGGAGGGCCAGGCTCTGGGATCCTGACAGGGATGGGTGCTGACAGCTCTCCTGTGCCTACTTCTGACTCCAACATGCTAGAGAAGCAGGCGGCCAAAGGCGAGAGTGTGTCCAAAGTTCTTTAAACAGGCCTTTTTTGAGCACACTCTATGGGCCTGCCCTATCCTACAGGGAGGAGCACAGAGATGCCCATGACAGTTTCTTACTCAAGGAACTCAATGCCACAATCCTAGTAAAGAGCTATGAGCTAATGCAGGCAGTCAGGATGGCAAATCGAATTGGGTTGTAGTGCTGCCTAGAGTGGGTTTGAGCAGACAATGATTCCACTGATTCCACTGATGCCTTAGCC